CACAAACACTGGCCAAAGTTAGCGTTAGTATTTGTGTATTTGTATTTGTGTGTGAAAAATGCAAAAACCGCCAATTTTGCAATACCTTGGGTTATCTACTATTGCAAATGGTATGCCATCATAGGGGTAATTTTCATTCTTGGGCTACCATAGGGTCTCAAAGGCAAAGTACCCAATCTGGCAAATTTCAATGTGAAAAAAATGAAACACAAGCCTTATATTTGATGCTGTAACTTTTAAAAACACCATAAAACCTGTACATGAGTGGTACTGTTTTACTCGAGACTTCACTGAACACACGTCACTTTTACTGGCGATATCATCGTTGTAATACATTTTACTGTTTTGAAACACTAATATTTGTGTTCAGCGAAGTCCCCCGAGTAGAACAGTACCCCCCATGTACAGGTTTTATGTTGTCTTGGAAAGTTATAGGGTTAAATATAGTGCTAGCAAATTAAATTCCCTTTACTTTCGGCATGGGTTGTCAGGCAGGTCCCGCTAATTGTAATTAATTAAGATACCCAATTATGTAAAAATATTACATAAATATATATGTAGAATTAATATATGTATATATATATATATATATATATATACGTATGTGAATATATATGTATATATATATATATAATTTTTTTTTAATATTTTTATTTATATATAGGTATATATATAGTGATATATACGTATATATTTATGTATATAGATATATATATTATTTTGTTTTACGTGTATTTTGATATATATATATATATATATATATATATATATATATATATATATATATTAATATCACAATACAGTTAGAACAAAATAACACACATCCATATTTTTTTTATTATTTTTTTAATTATTTTTTTATTTTATTTTTTAACGTATTTACATATTTTTTTTTATATTATATATAAATATATATATAACAATAATTATATATATATATATATATATATATTTAATCAGTATCAGTCTACATGTAATTTGATATTAATATATATATATATAATTATATATATTAATAGTAAAATACACCTAGACAGTGTATGTGTTTGTATGTATATGTGTATATATATATACTTATAACATATATATATATATTGTATATATATATATATATATATATATATATATATATTTTTTTTTTTTTACACTTTTTAAAATTTTATTTATTTTATTTCCAGCCAGCAGGGGGACCACCTGTCATTACAGGCAGCTCCCCTGCTGGCAATACAGGAGGCAGCTATCCCGGCCATGTGATTGTGAGGTCCTCGCAAGGACCTCACTCTCACATGGCCAGGGGGGTCTGCCAGGGGGTCGGACGTGCCGTGGGGGGACCGGGTAAGTAAGGAAAGACCGGAGGGTGTACTATTACGCCCGGCGGCGTTTAGAGCCGCCTAAAATAGGGCGTAATAGTACGCCCTTCGGTCTTAAGGGGTTAAACATGTAAATTATGCTTTCTTCAGTTCATCTTTAAAGTGAATGGAACAGCAACTACCACACCTGGTGCACAGAATCCAGGATAAGCATTATTCAAATTAAAGAGCAAATATGCCAGCACATCTTTTCAAACAGTGTACCTTTATTTTAAGCTTCACTCCAGACCCCTAAACAACTTTAGCTTGCTGCAAAGCTTTATGTTTGAAGAGTGTGTCCTCTCTTTTTTTTCCTTTTGCAAAAAGTTCAGATTTCAATGGAAAGTGACACTTTTTTAAATTAATCTGGTTACACCCTCCTTGGCTTTTAAGCAGACAACCGGTAATATTACTTCCTGGTTTGGTTAGCTCAATGCAGCTGACCTCAAGAGACAGCAATTTCCCCAGCACAGCTGACTTACAAAGACTTCTCATTGAGCTGTGTTGGTAACTCTGTGATTGGACAGCCACAGGAAGTCTGGGCGGGGTTAGCAGGGGAGGGCTTGCAAATGCCACAGACAAGAGAAATATAGGTTTTGCAAGCTAATTTTAGATATATCCCCAATGAATAAATATATAATTAAATACATGCAATCTTTCATTTGGGGTATATCTACTAAACAGTGATTTAGCTTTACTTTGTATTTCGGCAGTGGAGTGTCCCTTTAAGTGTCGTTGAATCGGGGGAAACCTTGCTACTGTGTTTACTCTTGTCACTTAAATAGACAAATAAATTTGAAAGGCTGGAGTATTTTCTCTTTTTCTTCAGTTTGTGGACAAGAATCTGAAAACAACACTGTCAATAAGAACTACAAAGTCAAAAAGACCTTCCCTGGAGAATGAACACATTTTATAGCGAAAATGTATAGTATATCTTTCCTATCATGGCATCATTGATTGTCTCACAGCACTTATCTTTAGATATACAATTAAACTGTATATAAGATCAATGCAGCTGGCAAACACGAAGGATGAAAATGCCAGTAGCAAATCAATAAGAATAAGAAATGTAAGACTGATCTAAATGAGGTCAGGGGTACCTCTCAGATGTGCTCCTCAGTCTAATCCCTGGTAGAGTAAATTAATTCTATGAGACAACTAGCAAACCCAAGAAACAGGGAAGAATTTATGTAAAATGTCCTGGATAAAAAATGTTCTGAGCCACACAAACAATTTCAATATCTTTAGTAGGAGGTCTATAATATAAAATACAGAGTATGTCACAGAGTAACATTCAGTAGCAGACACAATGAGGTTTGATTATTAATAAGGTTCCCGGCAGCGCAGATTGCACTGGATAAAGGGATATTTGGAAAGCTGTCTGAAAGTTATCAGTAATGCTACATTTCAAGAAGCAATTTCACTGTGAGTTACAAGAATAGAATTTAACATTTCAAAACTTTAGGGTTATCGAGATCATGTTCAACCAAACAGACTCTATATATAGAGTGTCTAGATTTGTTTAACTCCTCATCCAGTAGTTTATTGCTCTGTAAATATTGGTAGTTGTTCAAGTGGAAACACATATTGTGTGACTATCCCTGTAAGGACCATTGATGGCCATCATAGCGATATTTATGGATCATATTCCAAAATAAAATCACCAATTCAATTCATTACTGTAGGGTTAAATAAGAGGGACATTTAATGTTGGCATAAGTGAACAAGTTTGTGGTGACAACATAGTGTAGCAATTGGTATTTAAGTGGTTGAATTTGAACATATGAAAAAAATGCTAGCAGCTTGTTTCAATATCATTTACAACCATCTTGCCCCTGGATTGAAGTTTCACTCAGTCAGAGAAAAGAACTGTACTATTTATTAGGATAGCTCATTGGCTGACTTGCAACTTTACTCGACTTATTTAGTTAGTTGGTTAGTTAGTGGTAGTTTTTATTACTAAGCACAGTTTTCTACAGCATAAAAATATAGACTTTAAAAAGCCTATTTTCAATATGGAATTAAAGGACCACTATAGGCAACCAGACCACTTCAGCTTAATGAAGTGGTCTGGGTGCCAGGTCCAGCTAGGTTTACCCCTTTTTTCTATAAACATAGCAATTTCAGAGAAACTGCTATGTTTATAAATGGGTTAATCCAGCCTCTAGTGGCTGTCTCATTGACAGCCGCTAGAGGCGCCTCCGAGCTTCTCACTGTGATTTTCACAGTGAGAAGATGCCAGCATCCATGGGTAAGCATTGATAATGCATTCCTGTGAGACTGGCTGAATGCGCGAGTGGCTTCTGCCGTGCATGCGCATTCAGACGAGGAGGAGGAGAGTCCCCTGCCTAGCACTGGAGAAAGAGGTAAGTTTAACCCCTTCCTCCCCCTAGAGCCTGGCGGGAGGGGGACCCTGAGGGTGGGGGCACCCTCAGGGCACTATAGTGCCAGGAAAACGAGTATGTTTTCCTGGCACTATAGTGGTCCTTTAAGAGAATTAGATATTTTCTTGAAAGGACATTAAGGGCACCGATGAGGTGATCTGGGTGTAGTGCCCCTTGTTTTTTAACCCTGCAATTAAAAACATTGCCATTTTACAAGAACGGCAGTGTTATTTATGCAGAGTTAACAGAGTTAACAAACTCAGCTATAGATCAAACGTCTCTTATTGAGAGTATTTCACAGACGCAGAGTAGCATTTTGCCACATATGCTCCCAATGCTTCCATCTGATCTCTTGATCTCAGCCATGGAATTCGGGCAGCCATGGCAAAAACAGTGCAGTGAGGGAGTAAGGGTAAATAAACTCACATTTTTATTCCATCCTGAGGGGGAGACCCAATCTAAAAAGATAGTCCAGCATTATAAAGTTAGGAATACATTTTTAGCATTCTTTTAGCATTCCTTTAATTCAAGTTTATTTCTGAACCCTGATTTTTCTCTTTCTAAAATTGAAATTAAATTATGTTCAAACCCACCTGTTCTTTTAATGCATAATATTCCCTTTCATCTATTGAAAAAGGACAACAATATATCTCTTTTTATGCATTTACTTCTGCTTATATTTAAGATTTACATTTTACTATTATTTTTCAGAACAAGTCTTGTTATTAATCATTCAAACCTTTTACCCATTATATTTTCTCTCTATAAATGGGTATTCGGTGAAGCTAAAAACCATGACAGGATTAGATTAAATTACATCTAAAAAAAAAGTCTAACTGCTTAGTGTTTCAACTTCACACCAAACATTAGTAAACTGTGTTGTGAAACAGATTATATATATTTATTTGATAAAGAGAAAATGTGAAGTGAGCTTTTTTGAACAAAATAGCTGGGACTGTTATTATGAAGATGATTTAAATGAACTATTATATATTCTGTTACATTTTTCTCAAAACCTCTTTATTGTATCTTCTCTAGAAACACCAGACTAATGTCAAGGCAGCAGATGTTAAAAGAAGAGATGGAAGGTAATTATGCTCAGTAATTTGAAAAAAAGAAAAGATCACGGCAAAACTATAAACAGTCCTTTTCTCAAAGAACCTTTCACGGATAAATTAGACAAATGAACATGTACAACTGGTGATCACATTGGGTTACACAGCAGCAGATGCCAAGAGTGCTATATACATTGTAAACCTGTTTGAATGTTTATATCTCCTACAATACTGTGTCTGGAATAATTTCTCTGAAGTCCATGAATCAGGAAGTACTCCAGTACCTTAAGAATACAAATACATGTTTTAGAAACACCATCCCAACAACGGAGCTCTATTTGTTTACCGTACTACATTAGACAGACTTATCATCATCTTATAATTTGGCAAACACTGATAGGTGTCCTAACAATGATGTGCATTCTAGAACAACTCTGAATCGTTTCAATCGTCACCCGGAAAAACCTCTATACGTGAGCTAACCTGAATCCCTGATCTCTAGAGGAACTATCATCTGAATCCATGGAAAATACAGGAAGCTGGACCTATGAACCTACCAATCTAACCACCTACATGGTCAACCTAAACAGTTCCAATTCCAGTTGCCAGTTCACTGGTGTTCAACTCATCCAGTCTTACAAACTTCTTATCATACCGTGCTATACTCTCGTTGTACTGATTGGTATCTTTGGAAACTATCTGCTTCTATATGTCATCTGTAGGACCAAGAAGATGCATAATGTCACTAACTTCTTTATTGGAAACCTTGCTTTCTCAGATATGCTGATGTGTGCCACCTGCGTTCCCTTTACACTGGCATATGCATTTAACCCACAGGGATGGGTCTTTGGAAAATTTATGTGCTACTTTGTGTTTCTCATACAGCCAGTAACTGTCTATGTTTCGGTGTTCACCTTGACGGCCATTGCTGTGGACAGGTAACAAGTTTCTATTCCTAATTTTCTAGTAGATTGCACCTTTCTATTAATAAACGTTGCACTTTCAGACCATTTCTAGTTCAAGGAATAATACTTTGATTTCGATCTAACGAGTGAGCAAAGGTATTCTGTGCATTATTAACAAATTTGTTAGGACCTAGGAATTAGCAGAAAGAGTTTTATTATTTTAGTAGTTCTTATATTGAGTTACTGAAAAGCATGCCCTGAATATATTAGAGCATAATCAGAGATTATAATAAACTGGAGCAGGGCCGGACTGGGAGAAAAATTCAGCCCGGGCATTTTTTTAACATAGTGGCCCACTAAGAAGAGGGCGGGGCAGAGGAGGTGTGTTTTGTCATCACCAATGACAAACATGCCTCCTCTCAAAGTGAGCCTGTTGGTTCAATGCTCTCCCAGGGCAGACCATGCTCAGAGCTCTGCTGAAGAGCTCTAGCATGAGAAAAAAGCTCTGTATTTGTTCTGCACAGTGCAAGCAAATTTAAAAACATGTTTGCACTGTGTTTCCTTGCAACTTGTCTCTGGTGTCTCTATAAATGGATACCAGGAGACAAAAATGCCAGGAAAGAGTATTGTGCATGTGTTTGGAGCCTGCTTGTGGTATTGCGTGTGTGTAGAGTGAGCTGATTGTGGTGTAGTATTGTGTAATAAGGTTGGTTTTAGTCATGTTGTGTTTGTGGTGTAAAGTGGGGTAATGTGATGCATATGTGGCTATGGGCTGTAGAGAATGTGTGTATTGGGGATATAGCAAGTGTGTGCATACAGGCTATAGTGTGTGTGTGTGTATATAGGTGATGTAGTGTGTGTTTAGGGGTGTAGTATGTGTTTGCTTACAAGGAATCTAGTGTGTGTATAGGGGATCCAGAGTGTTTATGTTAAGAGTGTAGTGTGTGTGTATATGTGTATATATATATTTGGAAGTATTGTGTATGTGTGTGGTGCAGTGTGTTGGGGGGTTCTGTGTGTATGTGAGGGGTGCAGTATGTGTGTGTGAGAGTGCGGTGTGTGAGTGCCGTGTGTGTGAGAGTGCTGTGTGTGTGAGAGTGCCGTGTGTGCTGTGTGTGAGAGTGATGGATGAGAGAGTGATGGGTGAGAGAGTGCTGTGTGTGCTGTGTGTGTGAGAGTGCTGTGTGTGTGAGAGTGCTGTGAGAGAGTGCTGTGTGTGTGAGAGTGCTGTGTGTGATGGGTGTGAGAGTGCTGCGTGTGTGAGAGTGCTGTGTGAGAGAGTGATGTGTGTGATGTATGTGAGAGTGATGTGTGTGAGAGTGCTGTGTGTGATGGGTGATAGCTGTGTGTGATGGTGTGATAGTGCTGTGTGTGAGAGTGCTGTGTGTGATGGTGTGAGAGTGCTGTGTGTGTGAGAGTGCTGTGTGTGATGGGTGTGAGAGTGCTGTGTGTGAGAGTGCTGTGTGTGATGGGTGTGAGAGTGCTGTGTGTGAGAGTGCTGTGTGTGAAGGGTGTGAGAGTGCTGTGTGTGAGAGTGCTGTGTGTGATGGGTGTGAGAGTGCTCTGTGTGAGAGTGCTGTGTGTGATGGGTGTGAGAGTGCTGTGTGTGATAGTGCTGTGTGTGATGGGTGTGAGAGTGCTGTGTGTGATGGGTGTGAGAGTGCTGTGTGTGAGAGTGCTGTGTGTGATGGGTGTGAGAGTGCTGTATAAATGTTAGAATGGATTGTGTGTGTGTTGGGGGGCAAAACCCCCCCAAAAAAAGGCATTAAATCCCCCCCTCCCTTCTTACCTTTAGCCTGGGAGGGAGGGACAGGCACGCTGGCACCTGGGACTGGGAGGCGGTGTTCCCTGGTGGTCCTCGTGGGTGAGTGAACTCTAGCCTGTGGGGCTAGAGTTCACTCTCCCGAGATCTGGTGCGTTGCCATGGCAACACGCCGGATCTCGCGAGAGGAACCCGGCAGAGCTGCAAGTTAGAGCTCCGCCGGGTCCTCCTCTCCTGGCTGGCTCCCTCCCTCTCTCCCCGCCAGCAGCCAGATATGACAGCATGTGGGCCGGTGAGGGAGATCTTTGACCTCCCCACCGGCCCTCCATGTAAAACAGCGGGGCCGGCGCTCGGATAGTGCCGGCCCTGCATAGACTGGCAGTCGAGATCTTGGGACCTCCCCTGCCTGCCTCGGCCCATGGACACCGCGGCCCACCGGGCATTTGCCCGGTGTGCCCGATGGCCAGTCCGGGCCTGAACTGGAGTAACTATTGTGAGTAGAAAGAAAAGGCATTCAGTTTTAAGAAAAAAATTACTATTCCCATTTAAATCATGGGATATACAGATTGGATAAGTGTGTTGTATTAGTTTGTATGCATTCTCCACTAAAACAATCTATTTGCAACATATCTAGATTAAGTGCTGAATACCACCAGGCTTGGAAGAGCAGAATATCAAATAGAAAACATCCGTTTAGGTAAAATGCCATTATATCACAGACGTAGTTATGTAAAGGCTAAAAATTATTTCTAAGAAAGGTAATTGCCATTACCTCCACGTAAACCAGAGATTCAGCTGTCCCACAACTCATGCTGTTTATGAAATGCACTTATCCAGCAATTATGCTTTGGTTGCCTCTTTCAGACAATCTCCACTATCTCATAATGGCATTCATTTTAGGTCATGGTCAAACTGTAGTGAAAGTAGCTGTACTATTAAAATTTTATATATATATATATATATATATATATATATATATATATATATATATATATATAACTTTCTTACATCTTTGAGAAACTCTTGGAGGCAGCAATGGTAAAATTCAGAAGGAACATTTAGAAACTCAATAATTTTGCTCTATCTATCTATCTATCTGTCTATCTACCTATCTCTCTTTCTATCTATCTCTCTATCGATCTCTATCTGTCTATCTATCTGTCTATTTGTCTGTCTATCTATCTATCTACCCATTTACAATAAGGTTATATTGGAAATTTATACCAGAGCAAAAATATATTTATAGAGTGTCAGCAATGGAGGTTAAATATGTGTTCTTGTTGCTTTCTTTGCCGTTTTGTTTTGGAAACCCCTTTACTAAACACCATTGTATTAAAAATGTCACCTGACAGTCTATGAGGGAGATGAGCTGCCACAGGGGGGTGGGAGAGAAACCACAAAGTGACGGTGCAGAGGGACTGTAAATAGACTGTGGTGGGGGGAGAAACCAAAAGTGACTGGGTGGGGAAGGAGAGACCATAAAGTGGCAGGGGGATGAGAGACATTAAAAGGACGGGGGGGGGGGTTGGGGGATATACCATAAAGTGGCAAAGAGGGGTAAGAGACCATAAAGGGCCGGAAGGGTGAGACCACAATGGGATGGGGAGGGGGTGGGGATTGCGACTACAATGGGATAGGTGGGAGATCACAAAAGGACAGTTAGACAAAGAGGCACACAAAGGGGCTGGGGGGGTGGACAAAGAGACACATGTTGGGACAGGTGGAACAAAGAGACACACCGAGGAGCTGGGGCACAAAGAGACACAGACAGGGGTTGGTGGAACAAAGAGACACACTGAGGAGCTGGGGCACAAAGAGACACAAACAGGGGCTGGAGGGACAAAGAGACACACATAGGGTGTGGGGGGACAAAGAGACATACGGAGGGGTTGGGAGGAGAAAGAAACACACAAAGGGGCTGAGGTAGGAGAAAGAGACCCACAAAGGTGCTGGGAGGGAGAAGACAAACAGAGAGACTAGGGAAGAGGAAAAATAAACACTTTAAGGATTTAACACAGAAAGAGACATACAAAGGGGCTAGGGATGAGAGAGGCACACATAGTTTGCAATTTTTGTTTTGGGGGGGAGTGCAAATAGCTGGTCTTGCCTGGGGCACAAAATAGTCTTTCACCAGTGCTCGTAGGAAGTCTTCCACCTCTCTTTGTAAGAACATAATAACATATTTACTCTTACGCACCTTTCCATTTCTCTCACCTTTAGCACTTTTCCCAGACTGCACCAGAGATTTAAAACGCTAGGACTTCCTGACTACCTCCATCACTCACAGTTTTCAAATTCTCCTAGAGAATTCATGTTTTTAAAAAGTCTTACAAATCTTTTCATTATCATCTCAAGGTCTTACACATCCAAACTTGAAGCTTGTTTAACATTCTCTTTCTGACTATGTATAGTGCTCTCAAAAGATATTGGATCAAGGATGTTTTGCTTGTCAAATCTAGTTAAGTGTTCTTGCATGGCGAGACCACTTACTAATATCTCACATATACAGTTGCAAGAAAAAGTATGTGAACACTTTGGAATGATATGGATTTCTGCACAAATTGGTCATAAAATATGATCTGATCATCATCTAAGTCACAACAATAGACATCACAGTCTGCTTAAACTAATAACACACAAAGAATGAAATGTTGCCATGTTTTTATTGAACACACCATGTAAACATTCACAGTAAATACTTGAAGATGGCAACCGCCAGTGAAGTGAGCAATTTGGAGCAGTTTGTTTTTAACTGCTCTTCTCTGCCCTTCTCTACCCAGGTGTGTGAGCTGCCAGCAGAGTGTTCCGGAACACAGGGGCTGCTAGATGAAACATATTCTCTAAACTGCTATCATTCCTACAGTTTTGATAACACAAAAGTGAGCACTATTACATTTAATAAATATATTTCCATGTTAGTCAATTCGATTTTACCTGTAACAGAAAAACAGTAACATACAATGTTACAACAATACAGCTAATCAATGTTTCATAAAGTTACTCTGCCCAGTCCAACCTTTCCACAGTTACTCCAGCCACTCCAACCACACAACAGTTACTCAATCCGCTTCACCCAGTTACTCCGCCCACTCCAGTTGTAAACTACTGGTGGAGGCAAGAACACTTCACACAATTTCCCCAGAAATTTTAGCTTTTCTAGTTTTGTTATATTGTTACGTAACCATGATTATGTCTAAAAATTGGAATTGTAATAAATTGATAAGGGAGTTTTACAGTTTACCCCAAAAATTGCTGTATTGGGAAAATAATTACTT